TTTATTTTATACTTTTTTGATGATTTTATATTTTTGTTTATTTGATAAATTAGATTCGTAGTTCTACACGTTTGTTTCAAGATCTACCATGTGATTCGCGTTTTAATTTCTCAAGTAGCGTAAAAATCGGATGGAAGATTCTGTCAATTTTTCTTTGAGATTCTTTTTTCCTAACGTGTGAAGTATTTATATGGCTGTGATATATTGGTTATTATTTTTGTTGGGGTGATGGTGATGGTGATGAGTGATTTTCTCTTGTAGAAACAGTGTTGGTTTAAGAATTTTTAATAGAAAATCTCATCCACATGTCATTGACAACATGTGCATGCATGCTCAAGATTTTACTATCAACTCAATACTAAATTATTTGTTTTGTGAAAATATTCGCCCTAAAATTTGTAGAAATATTCAGATAACTCATACTACTGTCTTTCCAAAAGTAATATATTGATTTTAGTTTAGATGAGATCATTTTCAAGTTTAATATTCTCCGAATTTAGAATAAAATTAGTTTGATTTCCCATAATATATTGTTATACATAAGATAAAGGAATTTTCATGAAACTAATAATTGTTTCTAAATCTTCTGGTTGGTAGCTAAACAAATCACATACGTACGGATCTCAATATATCACTTATATGGAAAGAAATGTGATTAACAATAATTAGCAAACCTGTAACACTCTGCATGATAAGTCCACATCAGTAATTATAGTTTGATAAAATTTTAAAAGACATGATAACATTTAATTAAAGTACCAGAAATCCCAATTAATGAATCTAACATTTTCGAGTGCATTGTGATTTGCTAACAAATTCTATGAACATGTTATTTTGCCAATATGTATACTAAGCATTAAGCAAATAGCTATTAGATCGATATTTATACTTTATAATTAATTAGTACAAATTTTGGTAAAGACAAAATGGTGGTGTGAACTGTGAAGTAGTTGCCGAAAAATAAAAATAATGAAATGGCGTGTGAATAAAAGAAAGACTCCTAGACGATTGAAACAGGTCAAATTTATTCACGCGGACGTTATATAATAAAATTTGATGAAATTTCCAGCATAAGTATTTATGGTCAATGATTAAACGATAACAATTGCATGGCGACTTCCCTCTCTCTTTTGTAACTTAAAAATCGACCGTTTACCATTATTAGATGCACCAACCTTCATTTCATTATGATTAGTATTAGAGCTGTGCCTAGAGTTTTTTAAGGCTACAGACAAAACAAATTTTTAGTTTTTTTTTTTTCATTTTAATTTAAGTATTTTACAATTAATACAATACAAAAAATATAGCAACTAAATAGATGAGATAAAGATTAATGTTTTTTTTAAAGAACTAACAAATATAATATAAAAATGGTAGATGATGATAATTAGAATAAGTTGTTAAAATGAATAACAGAGAAGAGAATTCATAAACATTTTGAATTTCAAAATTTGTTTTAACGCTTCACGTGGTAACGCAAGAGAGATAACTAGTTAAGTGAGAGATAAGATGAATGTTATAAAAAACCTAAGTTGTACAAAAACTGTTAAGATAATAAATAACATAGGTTATAATTAGAGTGAACGGTAATAAAAAGAAGTTACGAACATAAGGTAGAATTTTGAAGTTTTGTTCATATAGGCTTCACATGGTAAACGTATATAGGAACGGTAAAAATGCAGTTACAAACATTAATTAGAATTTTAAGGTTTGTTCTTAGGATTCACGTGGTAAACTCAAGAAGAATAAATGAGATAAAGACGAATATACTTCTATAAAAACAAACAAATATAAGACTTTATAGATGCTAAACAAAATTTTAGAAACATTATTTTAGAATTTGAAATTTTCTTCTCAGGTTTCACGTGGTAAACGTAAGAAGAAATACATGATATACTTAGCTATTGTTTGCTAGTATCCAAAAAATGTGTATACTTAAATCAATTTATAATCACTATCATTGACAAAATATCTTATTTTGGTTTAACTAAATGAGAAGCTACAAGCCCATTATGAGGGCTGTTGTTGTTATAAGGCCTACTTAAACCTAACAAAGATAAGCCCATTAAGTTTTTATGGGCTTACCGGCAAAAACATGAATGTTAAACACGTGTCACCAATCGCGGAGCTACGATGGACGGTGAACGTTTAATCGCCGGGAAATTCCCATCTTCGCTTGCTTCCTCCTCTAAAGATGAAAAATTAGAGCAAGAGCGAGAGATCTCAAAACGAAAATCCAGAAAAAGGGTCTGACCAATTTAGGGTATCCTTGTGGGAGAGAGAGAGAGAGGGATTTCAAAAGGTCAGTGTGTGAGTTTCGAATATCGCAATGAATCTAAAAAAGGATAAATTTTTAGTTTCTTTTGTTTCTTAATCGGAGAGAAATTTGTATGCTCAAACAAAAAAAAAATGATGAATTGGTGTTTGATGATGATAATTGTGTGTGAGAAAGAGATGTGCTTGTGGTTTGCAGGAGGAAGAGGAAGAAGATACGAGTGTGAGAGATTTAGAGGGAGAGAAGAAAAGAGAGATTTTTTTGAGTGTGTTAGGGTTTCAATTCCTTTCCAGATCTACATTTATCTCTTCTCATGGAACGGAAGCTTGTGGTAATTTGTTTTTTACTCGCATTGAGCTCAAAAGTTTCCAACTTTTCTCTGAATTGTGTAACTACGATGCTTTTATATGTAATTGTAATTGATTTCTAGGTTTTGGGAATCCCGTGGGATATTGATTCCGATGGGCTTAAGGATTACATGTCAAAATTCGGAGACTTGGAGGATTGTATTGTCATGAAGGTTTGCATTTTCTTTTTTGGGTCTGATTTGAACTTGAGCATTGCTGATTAAGCAATGTCATGAAGAGCTTTGATATGTTTGATGTTTAGGATCGATCAACTGGAAGATCTCGTGGATTTGGATATGTCACTTTTGCTTCATCCGAAGATGCAAAGGTAATTTTATTAGTTGCATGTTTAGTTATAGATGCAATGGTTGTTGGATGTTTTTTCTACAGGAAAATCTGTCTTAGTGCTTGTTTCTTTTGAGTTCTTGTAGAATGCTTTGAAAGGTGAACACTTTTTAGGGAACAGGATCTTGGAAGTAAAAGTGGCTACACCAAAGGTTGGTTAACATGGAGTTGTGTGAATCTAATAAGACATTTTTTTTCGTGTAATCTTTGTTGAAGATGGTTGTTATTGTCCAGGAAGAGATGAGACAGCCTGCAAAAAAGGTGACGAGGATCTTCGTTGCCCGAATCCCTTCATCAGTCTCTGAATCAGATTTCCGAAGGTAATCCGATTCGCTTTAATGTGTTCTGTTTCTTTTCTTTTTCAGAATCGTTTCTAATAGCTGTTGAAAATATAAACATTCTTTGTGTACTTTTATGCAGCCATTTTGAGAGGTATGGGGAAATAACCGACTTATACATGCCTAAGGTAATCTATCGTTATCTAATTGTGTGCCTGATAATATCATACACTTTGAATAGTTTCTGGCCAGATCTGGTTTCTTGTATTTGATATCATTTCCCTATTTTCTATGTTAGGACCACAACTCGAAGCAACACCGAGGAATTGGATTTATCACATTCTCTAGTGCTGGTCAGTTTTTGCTTAAATCTCCTCCCGACCAGAATTGAGTTTTTATATTTTGATGACAGAACCTTCTTTACAAGTTTGATTGTCAAACTCATGAGACAGAAAACATAAGAAACTGATGAGTGCGATCCTGACAATAGATATAACCTGTTTGTGAAAATTTGGATTAAGGAGAAACCTTCTATTTTGTGATTTCAGATTCAGTGGAGGATCTGATGGAGGACACTCATGATCTGGGAGGTACAACAGTTGCTGTTGATCGGGCAACACCAAAAGAGGATGATCATCCACCTAGGCCACCGCCAGTGGCTAGAATGTCGCGCCCACCCGTGGCTGTTGCAGGTGGTGGATTTGGAGCTCCAGGTGGTTATGGAGCTTATGATGCTTACATTTCTGCAGCTACAAGATACGCAGCGCTTGGTGCTCCTACTTTGTATGATAATCCAGCCATGTTTTATGGAAGTAAGATTACTCACTATATAATACAAAATACTAGAAGCAAATAAATTTCTGATCATTAAGGGAATTTTCACTTTGCCTTAGGAGGGGAACCAACCACAAGGGGAATAGGAAACAAGATCTTTGTTGGAAGGCTTCCTCAAGAAGCATCCGTTGATGATCTTCGCGAGTATTTTGGGAGATTTGGCCGTATTCAAGATGCTTATATTCCAAAGGTGAGTTATACAAGTTACACAGAGAAAAATTTCAGAAAATGTTTGAACATTCATCTTTTTGTAATAGGACCCAAAGAGAAGTGGACATAGAGGTTTTGGATTTGTTACCTTTGCTGAAAATGGTGTTGCAGATTGTGTAGCCCGAAGATCTCATGAAATCTGTGGACAAGAGGTAAAAACAAGCTTTATAATTGATGCTTTAGCGTATTATGCTTAGCACAATAACTTATCTAAGATATATAAAGAAGCTACACTGTTTTTATTTTGCGGGTTTAGGTAGCAATAGATTCAGCAACACCTCTTGATGAAGCTGGACCTAGCGCTAGCGGAAGTTCCGTGTTAAGTTCTTCTCGTCCTGAATATTTTGGTGGCTATGGAGGTCCAATGCGCACATTTGGTCGAATGTATGGAGGCATGAGCTTGGACGATGTGAGTATATAAAACCAAAAACACTAATCAAAGATTCTTTATATACAACAAGTTGGTTCTGATTCACTTCGTTTTTTAAACTAAATCTGCTAGTGGGGATATGGAATGCCAAACGCAAGACCATCAAGATCAGACTGGAGGTACCGGCCATACTAATGTACTAGACCAACATTCCATTAGCTTTGGCTTTGTCACATAGATTTCAAAATCCTCAAGATCTATATAGTTGAAGCTTTTGTTTATGCTTTACCTCGGAACCAGTGAACCTACTCTGTGATGGTGTATGATGCAGACAAGTAAAATGTTTGAACAAAGAAGAAAGCTTTACAAGAAAATTTTGCAGTGTACATTTTGTTTTTCTTTGTTCAAATTGTCTTTTCAATAAAAACTTCAGAGAGCAGAAGAAGATTTTCTGCAATCAACACGAGGAGCAAAGCAAGTCATGAAAGGAGTCATGAAAGTATGTCTTCGGACGAGATGAGTGATCTTCACCGAGTTTCTGGAGATTTGATGATTCCCTTGTTGTTCATGTTCACTAGATACTGAACTTCTCCTCATTTCTTGTGCTTTGATCTTAGCTGTTTGAAGCTTGTTCAAGATCTTATCCATTGATGCTGATTTCTTCTTCTCCAGCTTCACCTGTTTGATTCATTCAAGCCAAATGAAATTTCAGTACATAAGAACCTCTGGTTGGTTTGTGGGGAGCTTATATATAAGTAAGTGAAGGAGGACAAGACAGACCTCGAGTTTTCTAATGGCGGCTTCTGCTTTCGCCTTCTGCAGATTTTCCCAAGCTGCTATCTTCGCTTCCTCTCTTTGCAACCTGCAAAATACTTACATTAATGACTGGCCAAGAAGAAGCAGATCTTATAACAATCTACTATGCTTGATTACTTAGAAAGAGTCATGGCTGGTTCCGAGATATCCCAAGAAGAAGAAGAAGCAGAAGCTTCAGAATTGTCTTCAACCTCAGGTTGCTCTCTCCTAATAATCCTAGAAGACATAACTCGTCTCTTTGGACGCTTAATCATTCTTGCTCCTTTATCCATTTTCACTTCTCTCACTTCACCTCTACAAGGAGGAGGCTCAATCACAGAAACAACCAATGGTGGAGACTGGTTGTTATTAGGACTCATCTCTTCTGGACTCATCTGAGTAGCCATATCTCTTCTTGACACCACCGGAGATTGCATCGCCGTCGTCATCTCTGCTTTCTCCTCCTCTGCACAAATATTCATATTTCAAAATCAAACAAAGCTTAGATCTTGAACATAGTTCCATAAGAATCAGCTCAATCTTGATACTTTTCAAGATTATGTGATTTCAATTTGCCAAAAACAAGACTTGAGATTCAAAGAGGTCTAATTTCAGATTTGTTAAGAGGTTACCTGTATCAGTTTTGGAGCTAAGTGAAGAAGTTTCCTCACTCATCAAATCAACCCAGCTCCGGCTATGTCCATGGCCAGGTCCATGACCATAGCCATCACAACCACCACCACCACCACCACCACCGACACTTCCTCTGAAAACCCTATCCGCCTCCAAAACTCCAGTGGAAAACGGAGAACCAGCGACCATTAAACCCTTGGGAGGAGCTTCCATGGAACGCATCATCATCCTCGGAGAATAGTGATAACACCCAATAGCCGAAGAAGAAGACGTCGGTTGCGGATGAGGCAACGTAGGAGGAACAATCGGACCACTTTTAGATTTCTGACGTCTCTGTTCAGAAAACTGAGAACTCACTGAGGAATTTTTACAAACAACTTGTGGGTATGTCGCCACAGGACTACAAATCCACCTTTCAGCATCTTCCCATTTCGAAGGTATAGCTCTGCCGCTGTAAAACGGCGTCGTTAAAGCAGAAGCAGAGCCGATGTGACGACGACCACCGTTAGTTACCGAGTTGGAAGTGGTCGACGAAGGATGAGGAACTCTCTCGGAGCTCCAACCTTTGTTATCGGCGTAACTCGGAGCTCCGGGACTTAAAAACCCACCAAAGCTATTCGATGAAACAGAAGTCTTTCTCATGTTTTTCTCAAAGAACGAATCTGAAATGGGTTTTTGGAAAAGATTGAAACTTTATTTAAGAAATTGAACTCATTTTATTTTGTTGACCGGAGATTTGAAGTATTCAAGAGTGATGATGTTTAAAGTGTTACAAAAAGGGAATAAAGAAACTGTACTTTTGTGTTCTTTGTAATAATCTCAAAAGGTGAGAACTTTGAGAGAAGAGAGCAGAGAGATGAGAGAATTTTTTTTTTTTTTTTTTGTTGGTATTAAGACAAGTGTCGTGGCTTGTCCGATCATATGCCCACAAAAAAAAAAAAAGAGAAAATAAACCAATTTGAAACTGACTTCTCTATTTGGGATAATGCAATTTACCATTTTCTACTTACACGCTCTTCAATGTGTTAATCCATTTTTTTGGGTTAATGAAACTGTGGTAGAAGAAGAAGAAAAAAAACATTTGTGGAGGAAAAGAAACAGATTTAACTGACGTTAGAGCTTTCTCTTTGTTTGTTTGGTTTATTTCTTATTTCTTCATCCGATTCCTCTGTACCGTTATTACAGAAGCCACGACTCTTGCCATGTGACATTTTCTGCTCTTTTTGTTCTTTCGATAAATTCAGACTCTTTTGTCGTTTCTCTTAACTAGCTTCTGCTTTTTTACTCTTTTCTTTTCACTTTTAGGTTATTTTTACAGTTAATATAGATTTTCTTATTTTATTTGTAACTGTTAGCTCCTGTAGACCTAAAAAGCAGGATCGTAGTCTCCATTATTACTTCTTCTCATTGGTAGAGACAATGATGAGAGTATTCAATGAATAATTCAGTTTTCTTAGTCAAAACAATTCGGAGAGTATCGACTTTAACAGTGAAATTGTAGAAACAAGCTACTGTAATATACTTATGTACCTCTTAATGAAATGCAGAAAAATAGTGTGGTTGAGAGATGAACATATGGTATTGACTATTGAGCTAGCACTGTATAGGCTATAAATATCTCTATCATCTCTTTCATAGTATTATAGTATCTATGATGAATGTACAACTAAACCGAGGAGCTACTACATATTCCAACTTTAATTGATCAACTGTCTGTTCTTATTAATCGATGGTATTAAAACTAGTTAAGATACATATTATTCAAACAAGTTAGTATACTAATGCATTTATAAAGGATGGTTAAATGTTGCCCAATAAAAAATGACCAAAGTATTATTCATCCTGTTTCACAAAAAGTGTCGTTTTAAGGTTTTAATCTTGTTTCATAAAGAATGTCGTTTTGTGTTTTTAATGTAGTTAAGACTAATTTTTTTTTTATCTTTACTTTTTCAGCTTATTAATTAGAGAGAAAGTATTATTTAGTGTATTAATAAAAAGTAGAAATGAAATTTATTTATTTTTTTAATTTATGTGAAAAATGATAGAATGACATTTTGTGTAAAAAAGAGAGAGTAGTATTCATGAACAAAATAACAACAGGTCTTTCTATTCATTTTTATAATAATTTGTCTACACCGTTGACATAAATAACTAGTTATTTAATTATTTCTTTTAGCTAGTTATTTAACTAGTTATCGATTGTTACTAAGTGATTAAGTTTTATGGCTTTGTATCGTTTGAAATTTGATTAACGACTGAAAATATCATTTGTTTTGAATTTTTATTGCAAATGTAGAATGATTCTTTTCAGCATGACTTTTGGCTTTTAGTAATTACAATTCCAAAGAGCTGGATAATCTCATCAGAATGTGGATTATAGATGAAGTTACAAAATTTCAAATCGTTATAATTTAAAGTAACACGGAGTTATAATCACGTTATCTAACTAACGCATGGGGATGGTCAAGCACACACACGACAACACACACTAGTCTCGTTGTTATTTAATGTAGCATTGATTTTTCGAACAAAACAAATCCATCAATTATACAATAATAATAAATAATACTACTAGTTCAATAAACAGACCAAAAAATCAGAGAATGGGTCCAATTAATAAAACCCATGTATCAATATTGACGCATGAAATATAGTGACTCCACTCCTACCACATTCAACGTTGATTTTTTTTTATTCTCATTCATTCATCACAAAAGAAAATGAAGAATATACATATAGATATCAGAGAAATATATTTTCAACTACTAGCACGTTTTTTTCTCCATTGTTGGTACAAACTTTTTTTATGCTTCCAAACTGTGTTTCCACTATTTATTTGCAATTCATAAATTTCACATTTTACGCTTTACATGGAATTTAATGATATTTCGTTACTCAACTGAATTTTTTTTGAAGAAAAGATATATGACAAGATTCATTAATGTCAAAAGAGATCATTGCTAGTTTCTTCTCCTTATCGCGACAGTTCAAGCCGCAAGTTTGAGATTCATGGTCCTCTTACTTAAATCGAATGAAATGTATATAGAGATTATAAAAGATGTTTGCAAATAACGATGGTGATCAATGCAAGTTGTTTATATGGGACCAGCCTTAAGTAATTTTTTCTAAATGTAGTTGCAAAGTATGACAATCTCTTGATAACAAATTTCTTACAAAGGACCAACAATTCCAAAGACCTGAAAATATCTTTATCAAGGTTGCGGATAATTCATCAAAGTTATGAAATGCTTTAAATAATAGACTTGTCACGTTATGTTATGTATTAAAAAAAAAACGCTCAATGGAAATGGTCACGCACAAACGACAAAACATACATTTGTTAATTAATCTAACATTAAGCTAGCCATAAAACTTCTCATTCATTTAATAAAAATCAATATATTTTTTATAAAAATCCTATAATTTCTAAAACATCATACGAAAACTTATCCCAAGTAATCCAACAAACCACAATTTACCACTGGATTATATATCAAGTCCAAGTCACACAGAATAAAAAAAAAAGTAAGGAAAAGAAAAAACACACATATAATTAAAAAAAAAAAAAAAAAAAAAAAAAAAAAAAAAAAACCAGTGGAAGCCCCTTTGGCCCATTGGTTGACCAAAGGTTGATTAATGCTTCTACACTAAGAGGTCTGGGGTTCGAGTCCCAGATATTGCGATTTATTAACAAATTTGCAGATTAATGGAGACAAGTGTGCAGGAGATCTCCAGCGATGTACAATTATAGCCGTGCGCCAGGATTCTACGCAGAGAAGGAAGTGTCGCTAGGTCGTGGATCATTGAAGGTATTCATCAAAATCATGAAGAAGGAAGTGTAGTCTGTCGTGGATCTACTAAGGGTCGGCAGAAATTGTCAGTTGTAGAATCGTCTATGTAACAGTTCTCATAATTTGCAATTAATAATAAATTTAGACGGCAAAAAAAAAAATTAAAAAAAAAAACATAAAAAGAGGCAACAATAAGAGTTTCCTCCCTTCAGTGCCTTGTCCTGCTTCTTCGCCTGCAAAAACACTCAATATGTTTATATATAGGTAAAGGCAAAGCAAAGAGCCAAAGACAACATTTTTGATAAACATGTAAAGCTTGCTATCTCTTTTTACCTGGGAGACCTTGAATAAGATGGAGATCGTTTGTGTGACCGCTTGGGAGAGCGTGATAACGACCTAGATGGAGACCTAGACCGTGACCTTGAACTGTGCCTGCGCGATCTCCTGCTTCTGCTTCTGCTTCTGCTTCTGCTTCGCCTATGTCTTCTGTAGACAAAACATTTTAGTTAAGAAAATCAAATGGGAGAAGGAGAGATGAAATCTGTGCAGTCTACTGTGTTGGTGAGTCTCTCTCTCTCGAGAGATATCGGATCCAATCAGCACTCTAAGAACCAAAAACTTCCTTCTCATCTTCACAAATCCCCCATTCTAATCACGAAGCAAAAATGATAAACTTTATTAACAACCTCGGTGGTGGTGATCGACTATAACTCCTACTACGGCTGCGATGCCTACTTCGACTTAACCGGCTTGTTTCCGCAATTTTCTCCAGCCTTTGCCGCTCCTGTTCTCGTTTCTTAGCAGTCTCTGTTGCCGAGTCTTTCTTAACTGTGTACAATATGATTCATCCACCATCTCAGTCTCTCACAGCAAATAGGAATAAACTTAATCCTAGTAAACATAACAGTACTTAAGATCTTACTTTGCTTCGTTAGCTGTTTGTTCATGATTCTCTTCAGTCGTTCTTGGGGAGTTTCTTTCTTCTCTGCTTGTGTCTGCTTCGAAGAGGAGGTACCTGCTTTTGAAAGCTTCGCTAGTGCTGTGGAAGTACTGCAAGTAGAAAAAAATCAAGGTTCCAGTTCATAACCACAAAAGCTAACAAAAGATACAGAACACCCAAAATAAACTTAGAATTATTCAATCTCATCCATACCTCACTGTTGGTTTAGCTGTTTTAACCATCTTGTCTTTCTCAAGAGATACACCAGATGCAGGATCAACATGCAACGCCTCAAGAATATGGCCCGGCGATGGTCTGCAGGGAAATAAGATATTGTAATTTCCTAATCCATCAATTATTATTAGCAAATTTCATTCAAGTTTAAAGCGGTTCCAGAAAGGAAGATTCTATCTCTCCCTTGTTGCCAATCTAGTGCCAATTTATTCTACAACAACAAAAGTTTCCTCAACCAACAAGTGGCGAGTAAGTGGCTATCTTTGCAAGAACTAGAGGTTGAGTGCTCCGACCGGCTCAATAGGTCAGACTGAGATGGTGGTGAACGCGGTGGGGAATATCCTTCGAACTTCAGACTTCCCACATCTCCAGAGCCTCCTCCAAATTCTGTAATATATTCGATTTTTGGTTTGCTGATTTCATCAAAATGGTCTCCACGCCCATTCCTCCGTGAGTATGATGGAGAATACGACCGGGATCTGGATCTTGATCTGTGGATACAGGAAAGAAGAGAATATCAATCAATTTCTCAATGTTTCCATAGCTGGTATGACATAGTAACAGGCTAATAACGCAAAACCTTCTTGAACGCGGATAAGCCTCATAAGTAGGACTCCTTCGGGACTCCCTGTGAATTTAGAAGCACCATTTCAATGAGCTAAACATTCCACTTGACTTTTGCTTTCTTACGTGTAATGATATCTTACCTGTAGGGATCATGATGAATTATTTGCCTTCCAACACTCCTTGAAGTTTCTCTTTCTCTATCCCTCTCTATCCTAGAAACTTTTCTTCTTTCCTTGCGACTTAGTTTCTTCTACATTTCCACGAATATTGATTCAGTCCACATTCAGTGTTAGATAAGTAAAGGGAGCAAAACAAAAAGACGTAAACTTTCAAGAATCAAACACGAGCATTGCAACTTACAATT